CGTGGTGCTGAGCCATAGCTGGCCCCCAGGAGAGGCGCTCTGCTCACTGGCTGATTCTGCCATTCCTAGGCACCCCACTTTCCGCAGCATCGTGGGCCCTAGTCTTGTCCACTCCTCCTAGAAAAGCAAACTCTTTGCCTAGCCCTTGAGATTCCGCAAGCATCACTATTAGCTTTTGCCCTTTGCAATAAATAGTCTTTACAGTAATGCTTTAAAGTAGTCCTGACCCGAGCCGGGTTTGTGTTTCCACCCGCACTCCAACCCACCCTCATCCCTTGCTGGGAATTGAACTTAAGGCCTTCCACATGTTAGGCAAGGCAAGGCAAGGCTACCGTCAGGCTGTATCCCCAACCGTAGGTTTATGTTTATGCATATTTTGTCTGCATATGTATGTGTACCGTGTCTGCATGCCTGTTGCCCACAGAGGCCAGAAGAGTTCTGGGACCTGGAATTACAGACAATTGTGAGCTTCCATGTGGGTGCTGGGACCTGAACCTGGGTCCTTTGGAAGAGCAACAAGTGTGCTTAACCACTGAGCCATGTTTCCGGCTTCTCCACCTGTTTTCATTTAACCCTCTTGACCAATGCGCTGTACTGCCTATGTTGACACGCAAAGGGTGCATTCCTGTACTGTTTGTGTTTGGTTTGCTTTCCGCTTTGAGATAGGGTTTCACTCTGTAGCCCAGGCCAGTCTCAAACTCGTGACAGTCGGTCTCACCCACCCCCGCAGTTGGCTTACAGATGTGGGCCACAACACACAGATGCAGCCCTTCCTGTTTTTGATTTTTTTTAAAATAAGATTAATTTATTTTTATTTTGTGTGCGGGGCGTGTGTGCCTGTATGTACACTGGTGGGGGTGGCACGTGCGTGTTTGCGCACGCACCTGCAGAAGTTACAGTAGGACAGAGACTACCAGGTGACCTATTTTTCACTCTCTGCTTTGTTTCCATGGGACGGGGTCTCTCACGGAGCCTGAAGCTCACCATTTCACCTGGCTAGCTCCTAGGATCAGACTGCCAGTGCTGGGGTGACCCGCACGTGCAGCCACGCCTGTGTTTTCTCCCGTGTGGGACGTGGGGATTGGAAGCCGGTCCTCACGCTTGCACAACAAGCCCTGTTAGTCACTGAACTATCTCAGCAGACTCCCTTCCTCTATTCTTGGAAAAGGAGGGTGAACCTGGAGTTGCAGTGCCGAGGTCAGCTGATCCCTACCCAGAAGCAGCCATTCCAGCCCCCCCCCCCCCACTGGGCTCTGGGCAGAAAGGAAAACCTGGTTAATCCTCCAGAGGAGTTTATCTTGCAGCCTGGGGCTTGAACTTGTTCCTCGGACCTTCAGGATACAGCAAATGCTTGGTAGATTCAACTTCTTCACTAAACAAGCAGAGGATACGCACAGTCGGGATAGAAACAGTTCAGGCTGCTTGCTAGGGTCACTGCTAGTGGCTGCCTGTGTCGCAACTGAGGTTCTCTCTTTATCTGCTTTCCCCAAGGTCTTTCTGTGCCCGGTCAAAGGATCACAACCCACCTTCTCTCCCTGTGTCTAAAGCAAAGTCAGTGGAAGCTAGTCTCAAAGTTTTCTAGTTTATATTGAACCAACGTTTCTCCAGGAAGTGTGTTGTTCTAGGGGTCACAGGAAGTGCAAAAGAACAAACACACCTACTGGTTTTTGGAGATCAGATCACTTTGCGAAGCCCCAGCTAACCCAGTTGGTTGCATACTGAACAGCTGCATTTCCATTTTTGGGTTGCTGAGTTTCCCTCCTCCTTCTTGGTTCCTAATGACTTCCGTTATTAGGTGTTTCCTATGCTGACCTTCCTTAAGTGATGCTTATGTGCTTTGTCATGGAGTTCAGTGGAAAGTACAGGTTTCTTCCAGTACAGCTGTCCTCGGGCAGTTTGTGGAGAAGAAAAATTACTGCCCAGCCTTTTCTAGAAAGTTTAGGACACGCAAAAGTGATCCTTCTCAAAGTCTTTTTTAAATATCCAGGGGTCTTTGAAGTTCTCTGGAAGACAAAGTAAGTATCATTCACAGGCTCTTCATTCTCATGAGTACTGTGTTAGTTTTAAGTAGCTTAACTTCTTGGTAGTTTTAAGGTGTTGTATGCATATTTTCTGATAGACAGACTTCCAAAAATGTACACGAAAGATGTATAGGAAGAGATGCTCTTTTAATTCAAATGTATGCTGAGCTGGAATGGAAGAGGGGGAGAAGTTACTGAGCCCCAGATTCAGGTATGACAGCAGTGGAGAAAGAGTTTTACCCTTCAGCTGTCCGAGCACACCTAGTCTGGTTTTCTTCTCAAGCTCTGAGTTTCCTGTCCTGTCTACCCTCGGCTAGTTTAGGCTTGAGTTTAGAACATAAAGATAGACCTTAGCCAGTCCTGTATAATCCCAGGACTTGAGAAACTAAAGCCAGTCTGGGCTGACTCAGGGCTAGCCTGGGTAGCTTAGTGGGTCAAGATAACAATAATAATTAAGACTTTTTTCTTAAAGGCTGGAGATATATATAGCTTAGTGGCAGAATGTTTACCCAGTATCCTTTGCTGAATTCAATTCCCAATACCTCATGGAGAAGAAAAAAAATAAATCCCAAAGGTATTAAATACCTGCTGCCTTCTTCGTGGGTAAAGCTGACCAAGTTCCTTCCGGGGGAGGGGAATGGTGGAGGATGTAGGAACAAATGAGAAGGCTCACCAAGCAGTCTTCGACTGGACCTTGGGGGGCGTCGCAAGTTGGTTTTTGAATGTTTCTATTCCATTAATCTGGTCTCGGCTCACTGACTTAGCAAGGTACCTGATAGAAAGGATGGTTGAAGATTCTTTCATAATGCTTTATGTGTCTTAGAAGATATCTTATTTATGCCTGAGCAACCAAAGGTCACTGATTCGCATCATGTGGACAGTAGTAATCTCTGCAGGTTCCTCTGTACACTGCAAGAAGCTTCTCTGACTACAGCTGATAGCAGCATTATTTTCTGGGCACGGATATAATTATGTAGAGGCCAGTTGGACTAGCATATCATGCCCATGAGCTAAAAACCAACAGTAGCTTTGGCAATAGGACCCGTGACCTGCCAGCATGGGCTTTTGACAAGTTTTCTGTGCCAGATATGAACTCCCGCCTGTGGGGCAGGCCTCACAGCCAATCAGAAGTGGTTGGTTACTCCCACAACAGACTTTCCACTATTGCCGGTCAATAGCATAGCATTCAGGGGCCACAGCTGAGGAAGACCTCTCACTGAGGGTAATTCTTCCTCCTAAGTCTTCACTGCAGCTTCTGGCACCATCAGAGCTAGCTAGCAGGAAGCAAGCTTCCAGCTCAGTTCCATCTTGATTTCTTCATCCTGTGACCAAAGCATCCGTTATCATTAAGTTCTGATGGGCAACCAAGGGCAGTGACAATTGTTTGTGTTGCCCTGGGAGCCTCAAAGGCCTCCTTGACCAACAACTCACAGGGAGGTAGCCCACCCCTGGCACTGGGGCTTTTATTAGTAACCTCTGGCTTCTGGGAGCAGCTTCATCTACGCACTCGGGGTACTTCCTTTCCTAGTGTTTTGTTCTTATAAGGACACCGGTTATACTGGGTCCCCACTTACATAGCCTCATCTAACCTCAGTCACCTCTCTCAAAACCCTCTCTTCAAAGATGCTCACAAGCTGAGGTACTGGGGGTTAGGACTTAGAAATATGAATTTGGATGTGAAGGGATATTAGCCCACGATACCTTGGTAAAAGTAGGAAGTCAAGGAAGAATTGTGGGGACAAAAAGATTGTCTGCAATAGTCACTAGCCTCAGTTTCGGTTTGAGCCAGAGACAGCCAGCTCTACTTTATAGATCTGTGAGGGACTGACTCTAAGATGCATGCAAAAACTCCTGATGGTGGAGTTGCTGGGCAGGCGTAGTTCGGTGTCAAATGGAAGGACCAAAGCTGAGGCTGACCTGTCTGTCTGTCTGATTCTTCGTCTTAGGCTAGCTGGGAGTGTATTGTGCTTTTCAGTGACTTCTAAAACTCGGTGCTATCGGATCTTCAAAATACCAAAGCTCCACGATGCTCCCATCCGTGAGCCCTGTCTGCAATATCTTTTTGTTAGGGCCGATATTTACTGAAGGCCTATGGCTTAACAGGGCCGTGGGTCCTAGTAGTGTGAGATATGACCCTGTCTCAAGAGATTGCAAGTGGATGCCGAAGAATTAATTAAAATGACCAGGCGAGGAGGGCAGACCATGACAGGCACCTAGAATCTGCCTTTGCTACCAAGCATGGACTCCTGATTTGGGCCCATGAGATAACAACTAAATGCAAGAGGAAAGCCTGGCTGCTCTGCCCTCTTGTTCCTGCTGAGTCGTCACCGGACATGCTCTTCCCTGAGGAGTGTCTGTCTGTCCTACCTAGCTCAACCCCCTCAAGGCTCACCTACTCAAAGATGAGACCCATTCTATATGATGGTGTGATTATATCTCAGAGGGATCATTTGGTAGGAACCAGTTGATACTACAATAATTTATCAACATGTTGAAGTACCTGGCAGGGTCAGACCTGGAACAAAGATGGGCAGAACCACGCTAATTCTCCCTCTGTTTCGGAAGAATTAGTCCTCCTAAAGAGTTCACCAGGTGTGATGGTGCATGCCTGTAGTCACCCAGGAGGTTGAGACAAGAGGACTGCCTCAAAGGGCCAGCCTAGACTTCAAAGTGAAACCCTGACTTTAAACAGGTTAAACCCCACACTTCTAAAGATGAACCCAGAGTCATCGGACTCATTTGCATGTTCTTCTCAATACATCACTAATGCTTTCTCCGCCTTGTGCGGTTACTCTTCTCTTTAATCCATGCATCGGGACAGGTTGCTACCACGAGCTTCTTGTGGTTTCTGGAACCCGGGATTCTGCCCCCAAACCCCAGTTACAGGACAGGGAATGAATGCCCCTCTTTTCTGCCCCATGCTCAGAAGCAGTAGCCTTACCTTTTTGTAAACGTGTTTTGTTTTGTTTTTCTTCCCAGAATATGGTGTTGAGAAATGGTACCGAGGTCTTTGACTCCTGGGAGAAACCCCCTCTACCTGTGTACACTCAGTTCTATTTCTTCAATGTCACCAATCCAGAGGAGATCCTCCGAGGAGAAATCCCCATACTAGAAGAAGTGGGGCCATACACCTACAGGTCAGTTCCTCCTCCACTGTTGAATCGTGCAGGGCCCTAGAGGCTGTGCCAGCCTGGCCTTGCTAGGACATGGGCTGGTGGGGCCGCGGCTTTGGTCCTGTTCTGTCTGTGGCATTGCTGGTGTCTGGGGAGATTCCTCCACAGAGCTCTGTGGGCAGGGCTGGATCCCCAAATGTCCTACTCAGGAACACTGTCTGTCCTGTCCTCCAGGGCTCCTTCCAATTTCCTGCCATACTTACTTAGTTTTAAGTCTGTTTCTAGAATTTACTGTTGATCTGAGATATTTTTTCCCGTTTCTCATTCATTCAATTTTTTTTTCTGTTTCTCGTTCATTCAATTTTTTTCCCTTTCTAATGAGACAAGATTTCTTGTAGCTCAGGATGGCTTTGAATTCAGTATGTCTCAAAGGATGACCTCAAACTTCTTCATCCTCCTGCCTCCTATACTGGGATCATAGCCTTTATTTCATGTTGGATATGAACCCAGGACTCCTTCCATGCATTCTGCTGCCCGAACTGTGTTCCCAGCCTTTCTTAGAGACAGAGTTTTACTATCTTGAAACTCATTCAGTAGCCTAGGCTGGCCTTGAACTTGAACCGGTGGCAATCCTCCTGTGCCTGCCTTCCAAGTAGTAGGATTTCAGACTTAATTCCACTACACCCAGTTCATCCATTTCCTTCTAAGCAGTACTCACCGTGTGTAAGAAATAATGGGTGGTAGCTGGGTTTGTGGCAGTGGCTGCCAGTTTCAAAGGCTAAGACGATTGAAGAATGGTGTTGATTATTTTTTATTACATTATTTTGTGTGCGCATGCTCAGTTCATGGCTTATGTGTGGAGGTCAGAGGTCAATTTGTAGGAGTCAGTTCTCTCCTTCCATCATGTGGGTCCCAAGGATCAAACTGAAGCCCTAAGTCTTGACAGCAAGCACCTTTACCTGCCGAGCCATTTCCCCAGCCCTTGATCATATGCTTTCAAAGTTGAGCGGATGGAAGGGGAGGACTTGGGTCTTACCGTCAGGGCACTTTCGTGTTGTCATAGTCACTGAAGCTCCTCCTTCCCCTTCAGGAATCTTGCCAGTAAAGTTTTCCTTGGCCAAGCTTAAAAAAAAACAACAAAAGAACATTAATAGAGGAAGCAGACAATTGGTTCTTTTTTCAGGACTGCCAGCTGATTGACGTGCTCACAGGTCTGTTGTAATCAATTGCCCCGTGAATGGATGGTTGCTGGTTGAGTCATCTGTTCTGAGTCAGTATTATTCCAGGTGCTGGGAATTTATAGACCAAAACCTCAGGCCTGCCTCAGGCAGCATGCTGTGCCTCAACTCAGATGAGGGCTTGTGTCAAATCGCGACTCTGCAACTTTCTGTCTGGGTTTTTCTCTGTAAAATGGTGATCAAAATACTTCTAATTGACTGAGGTTTAATCTTATCATCTTACCAACTCCTCCTGTGCCCCACTTCTCAAATTCAAGTCCTCTTTAATTATTGCTGTCACACACACACACACACACACACACGCACACACAATTATAAATATAGCCAGCTGAGTTCACCTATGGGGCTCTTCCCTGAAAGACACTGACTTCTTTCTCTCTCAGCAGTTCGTTAATTACCCATAGATCCTCACCTAATGTTGGGACCCTGTGAATTTTCCCCATCTATGCTGGTGTGTCAACTGGTGGTGTCATTTTGTAGGTCTTGGTGAGATTTCAGGAGTGCAGCTCCCCTGTCATATCGAGAAGACACGATCTTGCAACAGATTCCCTCTGCCTCTCAGACTTTCCTCCCTCTCCTCTGCTACGGTTTCTGAGCCTTTAGTTGTAGGGGTTGTGCTGTCGATATCAGCTGTCTTGTGCTTTTTGATCAATTGTGATTTTCTGTACTGGCCTCTGCTGCAAAAAGGGAGCGTCTTTGAAGGACGAGAGCTACACTTACCTGTGGGTAGAAAGGTAAGTGTTTGGGATGCAGTTAGGTATTGTGCTGGTTTAATTAATTGTCAGTCGTAGGTTCTCCTCTAGGGTCCATTGCCTTACCAGCTGCAGGCAGTGGGCTAGGTTTACCAGACGAAGGCAGTGGGCTAGGTTGACCAGTCACATATAGTGGGCTAGGTTCACCAGCCGCAGGTAGTGCATTAGGTTCACCAGCCGCAGGTAGCAAGCTAGGTTCACCAGTCTCAGGCAGCTGGCTAGGTTCACCAGCCGCAGGTTGTAGGCTCGAACTTCCTGTTGGACTTCCTCTTAAGTTCAAATGGCTTAAGAGGCTGTTGGTTACCCCAGGATATACGTGCCACCTTTCAGAATCTCTTGCCATTCTTGTTATTGTTGTGGTCTGTAGGCATCATAGTTGCCAAGTAGGACTATTGGTTGCCTTCCACCCATGGCTGCTTGTATAATCTCAACCCGATACTGTGAACCTGTCCTCAGGGAGAAGGCTTCCGGGTTGGTTCCAGCCTGACTTCTCCACTTCTGTTTGAAGTGTGTTGTGTCTTCAGCAATAGGGACTTAATCTCAATCTCTGGGAGGCAGAACCCTGGGCCATGGCAGTAACTTAGGTTATTTTGTGTTCCCTTGGACATCCTGACCAACAACTTGAAATGAAGTTTTCTGTGCCTGGCGATGGGTTTTCATTAGTCAATGACTTTAGGGTGAGCACTGTCATCCCAGGAGACATAACTTCATCTCATACATACATACATACATATATAAACACAGATATACACACATACACATTTATATACACATGAACATACACATGCTTGCATGTGTGATTGTAAGATGTAAAATAATAATTTCCTTTTTCCAAACATCCTTAGGGTTCTGTTCCCTCTCCTTTGTCTCCCTCTGGTTGTCCTCCTTCTTCCCTCCACAGGCAGCTCTTCCCATGCTTCCCGTTTCCCCCTCCATAGTGCACAGCTCACCCTCTGTATCCACGGGTTCCGGATTTATATCCATGTCCGCTTATCCACATAGCTAACTAACTGCACATTGAAAATGCATGGGGGAAAGCTAGGTTCCTGCTGGCAGGTGCTGTGTGGTTGGGCACACAGGAGTTGCTTCTGTATTAAACACATCCAGACTTCTCTTGTCGTTGCCTAAATAGACGAGCACAGAACCCTGTCCACACAGCATTTGCATTGTATCATGTAATGCCAATCTAGAAAGCACTGGAAGTACATGGGAGGAAGTTGGGAGTGTAGTTCAGTGTTAGAGTGCTTGCCACGTGCATTAAAAAACCATGGAGTTTGATCCCCAGTATGGAAGAGCAAACAAAAAGTCTACATGGCAGTGTATGTATCTTATATGCCAAAACTGCGCCCTGTTATTTAAAGGATTTGAGCGTCCAATTCAGGTATGTGAAGGCTAGAAGCGAGAAGCGAGAAACAATCCCATGTTGGGTCCTGAATCTTGTATAATCCTGGGTATTTATCTTCTGAATTAAAAAATTTGATATGAACTGAGCCTAATAACACAAGCCTGTGACAGACTGAGGCAGGGCTACTGCAAATTCAAGGCCTTACCTGGACTACTGATGAGTACAAGATCAGCCTAGACAACTCAGTGAGATCCTGTCTCAAAATAAAAAGTCAAAGATATTGAGGAGATAACTCAGTGGGGCAATGCTTTGCCTGCCGTGCACAAGTCCTGCCTGATGCTAGACACTGCCAACAAGGAACTGATGTGAGGCAGCGTGGAGAGGGTTAACTGTATACACACTGTCAGGCACAGTAGGTGAAGGACCCCTGAGAGCACCTGGGAGACAGAGACCGGAGGGTCAAGAGATGGAGGCCAACCTGGTCTATGTAGCAAGACCGTTTCAAAGAAACAGAAAATACAAAAATCAAGACAAACAGCAACAAAAAAACTCAGGAAAACATAACAGCACCCTGAGAGCAGAGGCAGTAGAGCTGGAATGTGCTGGAGCCTCCTATTGGTCACCTTCCCCTTGTAGGCTCTGAGGAAACGCTGAAGGAAGACCCCAGCCTCAAACGGTATGCAAGGACAAAGAGCGTTTGTCATACCAGCAAGCATGTGGGGTCCTTCACCTGTACAAAGTGGCGACAGCCCCGAGAGGTTTAAGCACAATTAAGGGGAGTTTCAGGGACAGCTACACGATTGGTTAAACAAGCAGCAGCTACATTAGTGTATTTCTAATTGACTGAGGTTTAGTCTTATGGTTTTTGGACACATCTGTACAAGCTTGGCCATGACTCGGAAGGGGACCGTTGGGTTTGTCCTTGGGATGCTGTGAGGCTGACTCTGGCCCTCTGCGTCTGTTTTCTCCCTGGACCAGGAATCTAAGGGCCTTGTAGATCAGTGGCCATTTGTTACAAAAGACACCTGTTTGCCCTTCTCAGAGAACTGGAACCTAAGAGCAGCTGAGAAAGTGGGAGAGTTTAACCCCTTCACCCCCGAGTTTTCTCTATTTCCAGAGCACATCCCTAGGGCACTTTCCCTAGGGCACATCCGCTGTTTCCTTCTCTTCCCTGCTTGGGGTCTTAGTGACTCTCCCTGTGTGACCTTGATGTCTGTAGAGGTCTGCTGTCACCTGTGTCTAAGCCTTCTATTTTTATTTTTTGTTTTGGGCATTCATGTTCTTTCATCTTTAAAACAAACACTGTAGAGAAACAAGGTTTCTTTTGATTCAAACCTTGGCGGTCTCTGAGAGGATTGCTTGACCCCATTACTTCTGGGCCTATGGTGACTGCAGCCCTAGAGGAAGGGGCTGGGTCTCATTCTCTTCAAAGGCAGGCCAGCTGGGATGACCCACCTGCCTCCCCCCCCCTTGCCTTCGGGCTTAAAGTCTCCACCTTCTCCCAGTAGTGCCTCTGTGGAGAAACCAGCCTTAATAGGCCTCTGGGGACACACAACCAAATCACTGCCTTGCTCTTAGTTTGGAATTTTATACTCTAAGCCAGGTGTTTCAACACGTGCTAGCAATCCCAGCGCTAGGGGGACTGAGACAGGAGACTTGCCACAAGTCCAGTCTGGATTACGGAATGAG